AAAGAAAGACAGTCTGCGTAAATGTGGAAGTTAAAGTTTGGGTAGTAAAGATGTTTTAAAATCATTCTTTATGGCATGATTAGATACGATGTTTTTTCCCTCTTGTGCAAAAAGTTTGATTTTTGGAATTGTCAAGGGCACAGAAGTACGAGATTAAGTTAGTTCACATTGGATGCGGTCTATCGCGAGCATTCTTAAAAGCTTGTAGAGCGTGTGAAAAAATTTGTCCTTGAACTGACGAATATGATGGTGATTGAAACGTGACTGAAATAAGAATATAAACAAGGTACAGATTACATAGGTGATCTGCAAGTCGAAACGATCTCTATGATTCTACGGGTTATATTTAGATAAGGCCAGCAATACTTGGCTTCTAGGTACAGTGTAAAATCATAGGGTTCGAAGGGTTGTATCTAAAAACAGCTTGTAAACTCACGCAGCTATGCTAAATGCAGCTGCGGAACTTCAAAAAAAACCAAGTCAATAGTATAACAATAACAAATTGTACAATTTTTACACTAAGATCTTTTGCAGTTTCTCGCTGTGCATTAATTGTGAGAAACATAACATAGCTTACAGACAGATTGATTGAGATAAAGAAAATGGTCGACAGAAAGCTAAGATTTTATAGCAGTTCGAAATGTTGAGCAAAACTTTAAACAGACTCCAGCTGAAACTACATATCTGGCTGAGCTGTTCTTGATTAATACAGTAGTCATTTTTCGTTTTGCAATGTGAATCTTTCTAGTTTTGTTTATTCCTTGTTTTAAATAACAGTTATACTAATAAAAGCCTTCCCAACCACTTCTCGTCATGTCTTCAATTCAACATACCCTGGATGTTTTTTAATGCAGGAATTTTTTAATTTAAGGTAAATTGTTTAATGAATCGTTCTTAAGAAATAATATTCATATTTTTAATAAATTTTTTGTCTATTCAACAATTCAAATTGTTTAACAGCTACAACCAGTGACGGGTCCAGCTTCTGGGCTGACCGTGGCCCTGTGCCGTAGCGAGCGCCTTCGGCGCAAGCCAACGCTAGGGGGGTCTGGGAGCATGCTCCCCAGAAAATTTTGAAATCTAGACTCTCGGAAAAGTGAATTCAGGCATTTTTAATGTAGAATATAACAATATTTTAGTTATAATCTCATCTAAAAAAATTCTAATATCGCCATTTTTATAATTCTGTTCCTATAGAAGAACAAAAATTTTACTTACCTTGTGGTGTCTGATGTAAAATCAACGCAGTTTCCGTACCTTTCTGTAATGACAGGATTGTTGCCGCTGGAGTGAGAGAAAGATGAAGCATGTTATTTTTGCAGTGAATAACCAAAAGACAGTTCACTACAAAAAAATAATTCCCCATCTTTGTTGCCCCACCAAATGTTTTTTTTCGTAAAGCAAGGATGCTTTTTGTAACAGCCATAAAGATGGCAAGACTAATAAAAGCAATGTTCAAAGGTGGTCTTCCAACAACAGCAAAGATGTTTATTCAACAATCGTAAAGATTGCAACATTAATAAAAGCAATGTTCAAAGGTGATCTTCTTCCAACAGCAGCAAAGACGTTTATCCCACAATCGTAAAGATTGCAAGATTAATAAAAGCAATGTTCAAAGGTGGTCCTCTTCCAACAGCGGCAAAGATGTTCATCCAACCAGGGGCGGATTGAAGCTACGTCACATTTAGCACGCGACGTAGTTAAATTCTGCACAGCAACGACAAAAAATTAATCAAATTTTAAATGCGCTTAGTTAAAAAAAATAACAATTTCGAGTGTGGAACGAAGCTTGTTTGGTCGAAAGGACCCAGAGACCTTTTCTATGCGTCGTTTGCAGGTTCGAACCTCGTCTCGGTAGGGTGTAGTTTGTTTCGATGTGTGGATAATGACCATGAATTCTTTATCCTAAAACTAATTAAATTTTTTGTGTCCTCACAACGAAAGCATTAGAAAAATAAACTATTGTCAGGGTTAGGGATAGTATTATGAGAAATTTGTGCAACAACGTGCATTCACTGAGCAATGTTATTGTTTCCAAGACCTGGATTAAGCATCCGATTAAGAGATCAAGTGGCTAAAAATACTTGTAATTCACTTGCGGGAGAAATACCCATAGCTAACCCGCACAGAGTCAGCACGCCTAAAATTGTGCTGAATTTGGAGACTAAAATCTGTCTCTTGATTGGTTTATTGCCGTTGTGCTGACTAACGAGCCGCCGTTTTTGCTGAAATGTTCAAGCGGTTTTGTGCGAAATTCAGCACAGATTGAGATTGTTGATAGCCGAGGTTTTATCTTGAGCTTCAAAACCAACAATATTAATGAGAAGCATGGCATCTTTCACTGACCGAGTTGAAGATGCTTTTACGAGGAAAGATGGGACTTTTATGGGACAACTTTACGGAGAGATGTTGGATTGCCTGAAAGTCAAAATCATTGTTACCAGCGATAGTTTGTTGGATCGTCTCGGTGTTGATATTTTCCAAAATATCAATGCCGAATTTTACATACCGCAGAGTGCCAAGACAAATAACACAAATTTGGTTACCTTAACGTTAGAAAACTTATGACATGTTATGCATGCATGCTTACACAAGAATATATAAGCAAATATAAATTGACTTGATGTGCTGCCCGATGGATTTGTCAGTTGTGGTTTATTTATGTGATTCAAAACAAAACAAATTTCCGAATTTCGATCATATTTAAAACGGTTCTATTGATTTATTTCTTCATATGTTCAATAGTGTACTTCAGATAAGATATACAAAAATAAACTGAAGCATGATATTTGAAATTTACATAACATTATTTCAGATCTGCTACAAATGGCAACTGGCTCTACAGTTCATTGTCAATTCTGCTTGTTGGTGACAACTTTGTGGTGACTATTTTGAGGCTGATGACCTCTATAGAATTATTTTTATTTGCTGATTATTTTGCAAAACATCCGTGTTTTTCAAATCTTTTTGAAACTCAGCATAACAAACACATTGATTCTATGTCAAGCATGGTGGCCATGTCAGTCTCTTCTTAAGCCATTGATAGTGCTGGAAGTGGTTGTTCTGTTTCTAAACTGGTCAGGGCAGAAGCTGTGTTAAATGCAAAAGATATGTCATGGACTGTGTTTGTTTGTTTGTTGGCACTCTCTTCAGTTACATCCTGTAGCATTTTTTCTTATTATCCTGACATATACTCTAGTGCTTTTAAAGGGAACCAAAGAATTGAACCTCAAATTCTATCTAGGGCTTGTGCTTCCACTAGTAAATACTTGCGAGTTTTGTTTTGCTTTGAAGGTTTAGCTCCTCAAGCAACTGCATTCAAACACAATCATTATGTGCCTTTGATACTTGGTGGGAAATGAACTAAAAGAAAGGGAAGTAATCACTTGTCACAAGCTAAAAAGCCCAGTATACAAACAAAGTTGAGGTTTACATCTTCTGGTCCTACTGAGACAACCATGACAACTAAGGCTCATCCATATGGTATATCTCACAGGTAAATTCCCCAGGTTTTGAGAACATAAAAATATTGTTAAAGATCTTAAGTACTATTCCAGTCACTTTTTGTGAGTGTGAGAGATCGTTCTCTGCTTTGCGAAGATTAAAGATCTATACAAGAAGTACTATGGCTGCTGACAGGTTAAATGGTCTTGCTTTATTGTATATTCATCAGGACATTAATCCAGATATAGAAAAGATTATAGATCTTTTTGCAAAATACAAAAGAAGAATTGAACTAGATTTCTAGTAAAGAGTGAAAGTTTTTGATGCCTTTTTAAACTCTTGACTGTAAAGATGACTGCTGCTAACCTCGGTCAATACAAACACCAACAATCGTTCTCAGGACTTTATTTACCTGGACGATTGACATCTACAAACATTTTTTGTTGGCAACTTCATTTGATAAATTGACATAAAATCGTTTGCATAATAATCAGCATATAGGTATGACTAGACCATTATAAAATGAAATTCCACATAAAAGTTGATACAGCGTAAGGAATTTTTTTAGGCTAAGTTTGCAATGAGCCAGGCCATCCATGTCAGAAGCCCTCAAAGCATATTTTTCTGCGAGTTTCCTAGGCATGCTGATGAGCTCTAATATTGAGAGAAACGGTCAAAAATCAATGATTTATGAGCAAGAATTTTAGCTTTCCAGTTGTAAATATTTTAGAAAATCAACTGTAAAAACGCAGGAAATAGCGTTTTCTGCAATCCAATTTTAAAATTTTACCGGGGGGGACATGCTCCTGGACCCTCATAGAAAAGTTGCGCTAACGGTGCGACATTGTGCCTAAGTTCATATACGAAGCTGGATCCGCCCCTGTATCCAACAATCGTAAAGTTGGCAAGATTAATAAAAGTAATGTTCAAAGCTGGTAGAAAGCCACATGAGTTGTACGTATATCTTTATTGAAAAAGCATCGCGGAGTCGTCATTAGACTAAAAGAAACATCGAATGTTCACTGTAGACCATCATGAACCATTTACGATGAAGTATTAAGGTATACAAAATTGGAAAATGTTAACTGTTGTAGACTACGTTGGAACAGTAATGAAAATGTTGAGGTACAATAGGAAGAAAGTGTTCAATGTGGACTATCTTGGAACAGCAAAAGTATTTAGTAGAAAATTTTCACAGTAGGCATCCTGTCAACAGCAACGCAAAGCTACAATAAGTCAAGAAAAGTACACTGAAAATGCCCAAATTTGTTTTAATGACGGTGCTTTAAAGTTGTTCTCTTGCTTTTTATCTTTCTCATCACGGATCGCTATGTAAAAGATCTGCCAATACCATTCGTCTTGGATGTTTAAGTGCAAAACGCTCGATTACTTTGTCGATGTTAAGGTGAATTTTTCGATGAACATTTAATAATGCTAGTGACGATAATCTTTTTCCTCCCATGGTACTTCGCATGAAGGTTTTCAATCGACGAAGAGTTGAAATCGATCTCTCACAGCTACATGTAGTCACTGGAATTGTTCCAAATATTTTAAAGGCAGTTTTTACATTTGGAAATGAATGAACATCAACAAAATGAAGCAACTCTTGTATGGAATTTGGAAGCGGACACTTGTAGTTGTAACAGAAAAGTTTCCACATTCTTAACTCCATTTCAAGAAAATCAGGTGACGGTAGGTCATCTTTATACTTATTCAAAAAACGAGAAAAATGTTCGGCCACTTGGCTTCACTGGTGACGTAACTCGGCAAAGCATACATGGCGTCAAATGCGTCGAGATTTCCATCTGAAAAGTCTTGATCGTATCTGCCCTACAAGATGATCGAGGAAAGGAATCGTCAAAGCTCTTTTGTATTATTCTAACGTGCTGTACGCAGGTACGTTGACTCGGTGCATTTAGCGGTTACTTGTCCTCTACTTGTAAGGTTTCACTCCTCCTTTAGCTAATTCAACCGCCATTTCGTAATACGACGAATGGACCACGTCAATGTCCATGGGAAGTTCGTTAATGGTGAAAAAGAGGAGAGCAACATTTTCACGAGCTTTACCAGCGTTAAGGGAAGCAGACTGAAGTTGCAAGTTGATGGTTGGGTGCATTTAAGGAAACGCTCGACGACTACAAGACAAACGATATACTGAAAAGACTTAATGGCTGTGATCATCCCCCGCTTTGTAGCACGTATCATGATCGTTTGACTTGTCTGTTCTTACCACTTCTAGTGCTGCCAAAATAGCCAAATAAACTTTGCGAAAGATGGAAAGGCCATTAATTCTGGCCATCCATCTTGTGCGACAAACATTGATAAGCTTCTCATGACTGGCTTGTGGATAAATTTCTTTAATCATCTCTTTAAAGACGATGGTTCTTTTTGGAGAATTATTAAAGAAGTCTGACACTTGACGGACATTGTTCATCATTTCACGCACCATGTCTATTGAACAAGCAGATGCAACACATAGATTTAGTATATGTAAACCACAATGCACGTATACGGCTTTATCGTACGCCTGTATGATTCGGGCAGCAACTCCTGAAAATTTTCCTGCTATATTTCCAGCGCCGTCATAGCCCTGACCACGACATTCTTCCATACGTAGGCGGATGCTTTGAATGAAATTTTTTATTTCAGTGGATAGAGCTTCACCAGAAAGACCTTTCATGCATGAAATAAAAAAGAGGAATTTATTCCCTCACTTTAAAATTATTGTCCATAAAGCGCAAAACAATGGCCATCTGTTCTACGTTGAAACAATCAGTAGCTTCGTCAGCCAAAATAGCAAAAAATTTTGCATCTTTAATCTCTTCGAACATTAGATTTTTCGCCATGTTGAGATAACTTCGGAAGGGTTGATGCACTTGGAGGAAGAGCACTTACCACCAAACGTTTGAGCTTACTTGCATTATGCGTGCTTTCACTACCAAACAGTGCACGAGTGACGCAAAAACCACCGTTTTCCACAGCAGAGTAAGATTTCTAACCATGGAAATCGAGATATCCATGCAAACTGAAAACGTCTTCCAGTACTTTCGTGAGGGGGGAAAGAGTAATCAGAACCAGGTTTCCAATGATTGAATAGAATTTCGTACTTTTTCGCATCAGAAAGATTGGAAACCGGATTTATGTAGTTGTAAATATCATCTGCCCGCGAATTAGTGTAAGTTGAAGTAGGACCGCTGTTGGAATATACGGATGAAATTCATTCACATGTAATAGTGCTAGGATGTTTGACTTGATTGTCTTCAACTTCTTTTGTTTGGCAAATTCGTTTCACTAGAAGAGTATCTAAGCTACTTTGCTTTCGTTTTGCAACTTCCGTCTGTTTTATGATGGATGTAGCTTCTTTTGAAGAAGAGAAAAAACTTTAGGAGCCGAGAGAACTTTATGATATATTGGCACAGGACGTACGGTCATATGTATATAACCGTACTCCTATTTGGCGGTGGACTCCTCCACCGCCAAATTCTATGGACTTACCAAAGATTCACAAAGAAAACAACCCGCTACGACCAATTTTGTCTCTTCCTGGATCTCCCACGTATGAACTATCAAAATATCTTTCTAATATTCTGCACCCACTAGTCATATCATCACATCATAGTATCAAAAATGCCACAACTTTCCTCACCAATATTAAAAATGTAAAACTAAAACCAGACGAAATCATGATATCTTACGATGTAGTGTCACTTTTCACATCCATACCACTAAACATAGCCAAACAAGTCACGAACGAACTACTTACTAACAACAACTCATGGAAAATCACAACTGAACTAGACCAAGACGACATCATTGACCTGCTCGAGCTCTGCCTCTCCACTGAATTCTCTTTCCAAAATTCATATTACCGACAAATCTCAGGAACACCAATGGGTTCTCCTTTATCCACCTTCCTTGCAGAAGCTGTTATGCAACATCTTGAAAAGCAGTCAGTCACCAACAACGCACACATCAGACTATGGAGAAGATTTGTTGACGACATCTTTGCTATCGTCGAAAAAGACAAAACAGAACACATTCTACACACAATAAACAACACCACACAGAACATAACCTTCACCATGGACAAAGAACAGAACAAACAACTTACCTTCCTAGATATTCTACTTACCAGATCACATGACGGCACATTAACCACACAAGTATTCCGCAAAAATACACACACAGACCAAATACTCAACTTTAATAGCAATCACCCAACACAACACAAAATTAGTTGCATACGAACTCTCTTCAACAGGATTAAAACACACTGCAATACAGAAGAAGCCAAGAAGAATGAACGCGACTACTTATACTCTACATTCATAAACAACAATTACCCACGAAACTTTATCAACAAAGTATTAAACAAAATACACAACAAACCACAAACTGAAAAACCTAACGAAGATACAGACGAACCAGTAAAAATAGTAACATTACCATATATAAACGAAACATCAGAAATGACATCAAGACTACTCCGACCATTCAAAATAAACATCGCACATAAACCAACACACAAACTCAAATCATACTTCACTAAACATAAAGACCGAACAACGACATTCAACACAACCAACGCGGCCTACATGATACCATGTAAAGATTGCCCCAAACAGTACATAGGACAAACATCCAAGAAAATTGAAACAAGACTCACTGAACACAAGAATGCCATCAAACGACGCGACCCAAAATCACTACCAGCCGAACATACCTACGATACCAACCACGCATTTGACTGGACAAAAACACAACTTCTTGGACGCGCACAGACAAAACACGCACGAGAATTCAAAGAGGCATGGTACAGCAAAGACAACAACACAATTAACAGACATATTGACATCCCATCATCTATTCACAACTAAAGACAAAACCAAAACAACAAACTAATAACACAACGACTAAAATAAAACACTCGAATTTCATTAACGTAATCGATACACCCGAAACCATGACAACGCATCTTATACCATCCAATAATATCAAATCAACTACTAACCAACCAATCAGACGCTCCAAACGCCTACAAAAATCTTTGTAAATAATATATTGTCACATTCTGACGAAGGCTCGAAACACCGAGTTGAAAGCTTAATAAAAATTCAAAACAAATCCAGAGAATCCTTATCATTATCATATACAAAGTGTATATACAATGTGCCCTCAGCTATCACCATATAAAAATGGTGACTCCTGCACTTGGGACACAGGACGTACGGTTGCACATTGTATGGATTGTATTGTAGAGTCACCACAGTGCTCAAACCTATAAAGGTGAGCTTTGTATATCGCGAACACGGTGAACGTCTCCATATGAGACTCTCTACACAATCCGACAGTGCTCAAACTACGCACGCGCAGTGAGCGTAATATACAAAGTGTATATACAATGTACTCTCCCGGCTATCACCATATTAAAATGGTGACTCCTGCTCTTGGGACACAGGACATACGGTTACACATTGTATGGATTGTATTACATATATATATAATAACTGCGCGTGCGTAGTTTGAGCACTGTCGGATTGTGTAGAGAGTCTCAAATGGAGACGTTCATCGTGTTCGCGATATGCAAAGCTCACCGTTATAGGTTTGAGCACTGTGGTGACTCTACAATACAATCCATACAATGTGCAACCGTATGTCCTGTGTCCCAAGTGTAGGAGTCACCATTTTAATATGGTGATAGCCGGAAAGGCACATTGTATATACACTTTGTATCAAATGCCTGGATTACAAATTTTCAAACTTATATATATGTATAAATATAGGAAGTTTTGTTTATTTGAATCTCCGTAAGTACAGTGCTCGATGCTTAAGAACAGAGCATAAATATTGATAAGAAGAAGAAAATACACAAAAACTACAATATAATCCCGACAAGCCTCTTTCGTGATTTCTCACACTTCAGAAGAGAATATTAAATGAATACAAAAGCATGTGCCAGATTACAGGGGCGGATCCAGCTTCGTATATGAACTTAGGCACAATGTCGCACAGTTAGCGCAACTTTTCTATGAGGGTCCAGGAGCATGTCCCCCCCGGTAAAATTTTAAAATTGGATTGCAGAAAACGCTATTTCCTGCGTTTTTACAGTTGATTTTCTAAAATATTTACAACTGGAAAGCTAAAATTCTTGCTCATAAATCATTGATTTTTGACCGTTTCTCTCAATATCAGAGCTCATCAGCATGCCTAGGAAACTCGCAGAAAAATATGCTTTGAGGGCTTCTGACATGGACGGCCTGGTTCATTTCAAACTTAGCCTAAAAAAATTCCTTACGCTTCATCAACTTTTATATGGAATTTCATTTTATAATGGTCTAGTCATACCTATATGCTGATTATTATGCAAACGATTTTATGTCAATTTATCAAATGAAGTTGCCAACAAAAAATGTTTGTAGATGTCAATCGTCCAGGTAAATAAAGTCCTGAGAACGATTGTTTGTGTTTATATTGACCGAGGTTAGCAGCAGTCATCTTTACAGTCAAGAGTTTAAAAAGGCATCAAAAACTTTCACTCCTTACTAGAAAGCTAGTTCAATTCTTCTTTTGTCTTTTGCAAAAAGATCTATAATCTTTTCTATATCTGGATTAATGTCCTGATGAATATACAATAAAGCAAGACCATTTAACCTGTCAGCAGCCATAGTACTTCTTGTATAGATCTTTAATCTTCGCAAAGCAGAGAACGATCTCTCACACTCACAAAAAGTGACTGGAATAGTACTTAAGATCTTTAACAATATTTTTATGTTCTCAAAACCTGGGGAATTTACCTGTGAGATATACCATATGGATGAGCCTTAGTTGTCATGGTTGTCTCAGTAGGACCAGAAGATGTAAACCTCAACTTTGTTTGTATACTGGGCTTTTTAGCTTGTGACAAGTGATTACTTCCCTTTCTTTTAGTTCATTTCCCACCAAGTATCAAAGGCACACAATGATTGTGTTTGAATGCAGTTGCTTGAAGAGCTAAACCTTCAAAGCAAAACAAAACTTGCAAGTATTTACTAGTGGAAGCACAAGCCCTAAATAGAATTTGAGGTTCAATTCTTTGGTTCCCTTTATAAGCACTAGAGTATATGTCAGGATAATAAGAAAAAATGCTACAGGATGTAATTGAAGAGAGTGCAAACAAACAAACAAACACAGTCCATGACATATCTTTTGTATTTAACACAGCTTCTGCCCTGACCAGTTTAGAAACAGAACAACCACTTCCAGCACTATCAATAGCTTAAGAAGAGACTGACATGGCCACCATGCTTGACATAGAATCAATGTGTTTGTTATGCTGAGTTTCAAAAAGATTTGAAAAACACGGATATTTTGCAAAATAATCAGCAAATAAAAATAATTCTATAGAGGTCATCAGCCTCAAAATAGTCACCACAAAGTTGTCACCAACAAGCAGAATTGACAATGAACTATAGAGCCAGTTGCCATTTGTAGCAGATCTGAAATAATGTTATGTAAATTTCAAATATCATGCTTCAGTTTATTTTTGTATATCTTATCTTAAGTACACTATTGAACATAGCAAGAAATAAATCAATAGAACCGTTTTAAATATGATCGAAATTCGGAAATTTGTTTTGTTTTGAATCACATAAATAAACCACAACTGACAAATCCATCGGGCAGCACATCAAGTCAATTTATATTTGCTTATATATTCTTGTGTAAGCATGCATGCATAACATGTCATAAGTTTTCTAACGTTAAGGTAACCAAATTTGTGTTATTTGTCTTGGCACTCTGCGGTATGTAAAATTCGGCATTGATATTTCGGAAAATATCAACACCGAGACGATCCAACAAACTATCGCTGGTAACAATGCTTTTGACTTTCAGGCAATCCAACATCTCTCCGTAGAGTTGTCCCATAAAAGTCCCATCTTTCCTCGTAAAAGTATCTTCAACTCGGTCAGTGAAAGATGCCATGCTTCTCATTAATATTGTTGGTTTTGAAGCTCAAGATAAAACCTCGGCTATCAACAATCTCAATCTGTGCTGAATTTCGCACAACACCGCTTGAACATTTCAGCAAAAACGGTGGCTCGTTAGTCAGCACAACGGGAATAAACCAATCAAGAGACAGATTTTAGTCTCCAAATTCAGCACAATTTTAGGCGTGCTGACTCTGTGCGGGTTAGCTATGGGTATTTCTCCCGCAAGTGAATTACAAGTATTTTTAGCCACTTGATCTCTTAATCGGATGCTTAATCCAGGTCTTGGAAACAATAACATTGCTCAGTGAATGCACGTTGTTGCACAAATTTCTCATAATACTATCCCTAACCCTGACAATAGTTTATTTTTCTAATGCTTTCGTTGTGAGGACACAAAAAATTTAATTAGTTTTAGGATAAAGAATTCATGGTCATTATCCACACATCGAAACAAACTACACCCTACCGAGACGAGGTTCGAACCTGCAAACGACGCATAGAAAAGGTCTCTGGGTCCTTTCGACCAAACAAGCTTCGTTCCACACTCGAAATTGTTATTTTTTTTAACTAAGCGCATTTAAAATTTGATTAATTTTTTCTCACTGCTGTGCAGAATTTAACTACGTCGCGTACTAAATGTAACGTAGCTTCAATCCGCCCCTGCTAGATTATTTATACAAGAGGAAGTTAGGGTAAAAATTAAGATAGAATTACATATGTTAGGTGTACGATTACAAATTGGATAACAGTGCCTTGTGTCTATGGCGACAAGAGGAGATGAGTTCGTTACGTTTGTTGAGTGATGACAGTTGTAGTTGGTAGGTGATAAAGAATTTTTCTTTCAGGCAAGTGTCATGTTTTGTTGGCGGTGTTGTACGGTTTGCTATGAGTAATAATGTTCCATGAGATATCGTGAGCGATGCTGTTTTCTTTTAGTGTCCATATGTGTTTACTGAGTTCGGTAGAGTTTCTTACTTTTTTTTGTGGCGGAAAGAGACAGTGTGGTTCCTATGTCGAGTATTGAATTCGTTTACAGTATAGTGTCCAACCGTTTAACAGTTGCTTGGTATAGGAAATATTGGAAAAGCTGGATGCATTACTATAATCTTGATCATCATTAAAGAATCATCTTGGTTTATGTTTGTCCTGTCCTTAAACAAAAGTATTTTTTTCAAACCAACAGCTATTGTTATATCAATATGAAATAGCTCAGAAAGGTTTCAAATAATAATAATTCGAAAATCCATGTTTGCAGACGTTATCCGCCATACATTTGTATAGTAATTTGTATCTTTAGTGGATAAATGAAAGTGCATTTTGCACATATAATTAGGCTTCGCTTTTGATACCTATGGAAGCTATATCCAGAGGCGTAACTAGAATGTTAATTGGGGTGGGTGGATGTATATTCATAAATTCAGTTGTGCCCTACTGATTTCTTTTGAAATTCAATTCATTTTCAAGAATGATCGATTTCTCACGCAACACAATCAAAAAAGTATGGTACTCTTCCCTATCTATTTAGAATGTTGTCTGTTTATGGCAAAAACTTTCTTAATCATACTGATATGATGAGATCATGACATTCCTGATATATAGCGATGTTTTATGGTTTGTATATCAATTTGTATTTTTTATTTATTTTTAGTAAATTCGTGCTCACATTGTATTTAGTTTAACATTTTATATAGATGACGATTGATCACAAAAATGAAACGTTCCTAAACACCATTACAATTGAGAACATTGTGCAGTAAGATAACTCATCATCATTTTAAAATTTATCGTCACGTCACGAGTTTGCTAGCACATCACATCATGATAACAAGCTTTTTAATGTAGAATTTGTATGATTTTGAATAGAGCAAAAAAAGTTACTAAGTTTCAAAATATTTTTTTATTTACTTGAATAGTTTTTGAAAAATTAAGCCTTGAAATTGCAAATTTGGGTTGTTTTAAAAAGAATATGAATAAAGGATAGAAGCAAGACGAAGAGAAAAAGAAGAATTAAATCATCGTTTCAATGGGCAAAACCCTATAAGTATTAGTTTAAATGTAATATTCCCGTTATATAGTGTCGATGAATGTTGTTTAGATCACAGTATAGACAAAAACTCAACATCGAGATTACTGGTTTTACGTACACGTGTTTGTATTGCAATAACGAATTGTTGGTTGATGCAAGAGAATGTCGCTACTGTAATGAGATACCGAAGTGCATTCAACCAGTCTAAAATTTACAACTAGAGTGCGTGACATTAGAGCATATGTACACAAAGGCCTAATTTTTCTGGCAAAATTTGACGTCGTTACAAATTTTTCATTTTCTATTTCGTATTCAGGACAACAGTACGAGCCCTTGTTAAAGCTAGATAGATATTTTGATTTCTAAATAACGGCGACCGTTTAGTAAGGAAATGCAATTTTCCCACAAGTTACCTCAATTGTAATTCATTTATATTAAATGACAAGACGGGTTCCTGAGTCCCAGTCCCCCAACAGCGCGATCAGACTGAGTGCCAGAGAGCGATACTCTGGTTCTGGCACAAATCTGCATGTCGTTCACACTGCGTAGTACCCACTATCTTTGTTTATTTATAATTTCATGTTTCTCATTGTAAACAAGTTTTAAAACCATGTGCTGAATACATCCTTCTCTGTACACATTACTCAGTGGTCGTCGTTCACATTGGTGCCCGTGCCCGAGCACCGTACTCGGGTACAACCTCTTTTTGTGGTGCCCAGATACAGGCATTTAGACTAGGGCACCATCAAAATGTTGTGTTCAAATTGTTGCCCGCGCCTGAGCACCGTACCCGGGCATTCTAAACGCGCTATAACATGACGAAAATTTTTACAATTTTTCATCTTTAAATTTTGGTTTTCAAAAACTATTCAAGTAAATCAAAATATGTTTTAAAATTTATCAAGTAACTTTTTATGCTCTATTCAAAACGATAAAAATCTTGTAGATGATATAGGCACATTAAATACCGTTGTCACGACATATTTTCCCAGTACTCTGGAGCATTTTAAATAATTAATCAATCTACCAAAATTTGCCAATCAATCATCAATACATGTTGGAGGAAAAACTGAAACGTTTGTTTGGAAACACTTATTTTTTTGCATTGTTATTTTATAAAAAAGATAAAAGATGTTTTTCGTGTTTGCACTGGCTAATGCAAATGCGAAGACGTTAGTGAAAACTCTCGAGTAGGTGCAACCTTCGGTCTCAGGACTGTACTAATCTGCTCTCGATTTCTCAGAAAGGTCTCCTCAGTTTGCATAAGTCAGTGGAAACATAGTAAACACCTTTTAATTTCTTAAATATTAATTTGACTAAGGTTTCCTGTCCAGGGATTTAGTATACAGGTCGGTGCATGGAACATGCAAATGATTTGGAAGGTTTGCATGAGAAGGGTAAATGCAGATAACGTACTCTGGTAGGTCAATGCCCATGTTTAAATCACTGATTTATGTTAAGTTTACAGCCTTTCTTAAACATCACCAGAGATGTAATATGAATTAGAGTGGTTGTAGCGGACAAACTACACCTATTTCGCGGGCTATAGAATCAACCGTTATGACGTCGTCCCATGTCATTCTTCGTTTGTTTTTTTTTATTTCAACTCCAACTTTCTTGATGTGACGTTTTAAAATATCTAAGCAATACTGAGTATGATTTCCAATGCATGGATGTGGGGGATTAGCCCTTTGAGTATCTGATTTGAACACATTAAATAAGCGATTGAGATCCGATTGCGAATATTTTTACACATGTCTTCCTTTCTGCCGGCTTCACTAATCGACAAACAGTAAGAAATTGGAATGAGTTTTGCATATATGCTATCAGTATTCAACGGTCCATGGTAGGCAGTTTGAGGCTGACGCAATAACTGATTGCCATTAACTATGTCATTCAGTTGAAGTCTGTGACCCTCGGGCAAACGGTTGTTGTAGACGTTTATGTCACCACACATTTCTACATCCCATTCGTAGCGATCTTTCTCGAAAAACCATGCGTAGCTCAAGATAACAGATACAGGAGAAATATAACCAGTGCCAGTGTGGTAAAAGTTTTTAAACGCTTCTTCGAAGTTATCTGTCTTGAAATTTTTCAATATGTGTTCTCTGCAGTGTGTTATCGTGTCACGGTACATGTACACAGGAAAATATGTCATAAAATCAGCCAACTGCGGGAATCCGATCGCCATCTCTGTTGTTTTGGCCCATGATTGCACCCAGCCTATTTGCATTGTACAGTCTGTGCCAAGGATTCTTACTTTACCATTTGGCTTTATAGTTAACATGGTAACTGGGAAAATGAATGGCGAATCACTATCCAACCAAGCTATCACCTCGTCATCTGAGTAAAGATCTATGAAAAAACTGCTCCATAACTGACGATTATAACCTGGTGATTTTAGCTGACTAGGAAAAGTTAAAACTGTCGGATCCTTGGGTAGTGGCTCGTACTCTATTTTGAAAGTTTGGCGAGGAAAATGTTCCTTTATCTGATTCAATAATGTTTTACCAAAGGTGTGATCCTCATCTGACTCTTCATCAAAAACAAGAACCATTTTGCCCAGCCACCCAGGCCAGAACAGAGGAACTGTTTTTAAAATATTGCAATAAAATCTTTTTTTGTGGTCTTCTCTTTTACCTGACATTCTCAAAAAGAGTGAAATAGATGGATTCCTATGTTGGATATTGTTCTTCGGAGAAGTATTTTCATAAGATATTGGATATGAAATTTCTTGATTGACAGATTTCAAAATCTTTACTTTTACAAAAAAGTACATATATAACAAGCCCAAACAGCCAAGCAAGACGAGCAACGATTTGACACCAACATTCATTGTTATGGATCAATTGTTGTTATTGAGGCGTTTATGTCCTATAAAAATGACGGAATACATAAATATTATTTGCCGACTGAGAGGGAGAGGTCCGTACCGAAATATCTACTCGTGAATGCTAAAGTTACCAGAGAGCGAATAAAGCAATAAAGAAACACGTTGTAAAATGTCGATGTGGCTTGTTGAGACTAAAATTGGATTGTTTTCTACAAAGTTCGCTTCCCCTGGATGGTAAAATTCATTGTTTTTATGACAGCTACCATCTGAATAAATTTTGCTTTCCCTTTGAACTATTCGAGGTTTCAAATGAACTTCAATGATTAAACTTTCACTTTGTAAACACAAATTTCACTACGTAAACACAAATTTCGCTTCGTTTATACATAGATATTAAACCCATAGACAATAAACTTCATGAAGTCGCATATCAATTGTTTGTAAGAAGTTTGTGTTTTGTCAACATTATTTTATACTCAATAAAAGATATCATCAAAGACGACAGTATGTTAACCAAAAAATTTCTGCAGCAACACGTCTGTGATCTTGTCAAAACAACAAATATTATTTGACTATGGCTGGTATAGACAAAGTATCTCCTTAACAACAATAAATTGATTTGCATTAATTGCATATCTAAGGAGCGGGATAACTACTTAGAAGTAAAAAATATATAAAGGATTCATTGATTTGGCAGATTTGCAGAAGCAGAAAATAGACTATACAGGGTGTATGAAAAAAACCTTAGCAGTTAGTGGGTGTGTGAGTGTCAATTGTGTGTTGTCATCGTGGACCAGTCTAAATAAATGCGTTTAGTCGCTCGTTTGTTTGAGGTTGTGAAGAAGTCGTTTTTTAAGTGCAAGTGTTGCAGGTAATTTGTCCCCCACAGTTAAATTTCTAAGGAATTATGTCCCCCGTCGAGGGACGTATTTCCAAAGAAAATTGTCCCCTCTTAAGAAATTTGTCTCCCCTTAAGAAATTTGTCTCCGTTACAAACGTTTACCTTGAAAAACTGTAAACTTTTCAGTTTTAAAACATAATCGCACGCAATTTAATATATTAAAACCTATTTACACCAATAATTTAGTCAGATTTTATAACAGCAGTCAGAATAACCATCACACTCTAGCGATGACATCGTGCATTAATGAACATGTCAATATTCACGCCTCTAACAAAGAGCAGTTAGTAATAAAACTAATCACTCAGAAAAAACAATCCGCTAACACAAAAACGCAAGGGATTGACTGACTAACACACTTCACCTTAACGTTGATTCACAAACACAAACGGCATTAAAAAACATTGAGGAAGATATCGCGGCGTTCCCTCGTCTGTCAAAAAAGGTTTAGAATACACAAACAACAAACTACATTGTGAATTGTACCTATGTGCTTTGTGATCGGCAAAACGCAATAAAAGGAAACAACCCGCTTTAGAAAATACTTAGGCCTGTTTCATACGTCGCATTTTACATGAGCCGCGTGCATTTAAAACAAAAGGTAATGAGGCAATTTATCTCGTTTTTTTTGTCTTCAATGCATTCGGCTCATGTAAAATGCGACGTTTGAAAGGGGCCTCACTCAGATATTTAAAATAAAACCCCCGTTTTTCCCCTTCTACTACTCTTTCAAATAAGGGGGGGGGGAGAATTCACGAACAAAAGGTTATATTTAAAGGTAAAGGTCATGTAAGTAATGCATTTCGACGAGTCCCAGTCAATGTTGTGTTTTGTCAGATGGTAATGTTCAACAATGTGATTAGTTTTGTCTTGTTTCCTTTTAGCTCGTTTGGGGTCAGTAAGTCTTATGTTACTCGTCCGCCACCAGGTACTCGCCAACACGCACCGAACCAGCGTGGTGAGTCATGGTTCAATCCCACAACATGAATTCACGCAACTCAAAACGGCCCTCAGTCCCCGGCAGCCGAAAGGCAGAGAGTGCAAAGAATCTCCGGGTTCCCAAGATCTATATCTCTACATACAATGTGAGAACTTTGTGAAGGTTTACAATCATAGAGTGGGCTGTGTACGTCAGCAATCATGGGGAGGCCTGTGTACGTTAATAATCAAGGGGAGGCCTGTGTACGTTAATAATCAAGAGGAGGGCTGTGTACGTTAATAATCAAGGGGAGGGCTGTGTACGTTAATGATCAAGGGGAAGCCTGAGTACGTTAATAATCAAGGGGAGGGCTGTGTACGTTAATAATCAAGGGGAGGCCTGTGTACGTTAATAATCAAGGGAGGGCTGTACGTTAATAATCAAGGGAGGCTGTGTACGTTAATAATCAAGGGAGGGCTGTGTACGTTAATAATCAAGGGAGGGCTATGTACGTTAATAATCAAGGGAGGGCTGTGTACGTTAATAATCAAGGGGAGGGCTGTGTACGTTAATAATCAAGGGGAGGGCTGTGTACGTTAATAATCAAGGGAGGGCTGTGTACGTTAATAATCAAGGGAGGCCTGTGTACGTTAATAATCAAGGGGAGGGCTATGTACGTCAACAATTATGGTGAGGACTGTGTGCTTTAATAATCATGAGGAATGCTGTGTGAGTCAACAATCATGGTGAGATTTGAGTGCGATAATAATCATGGGAAGGTCTGTGTACGTCAATAATCATGGAGAGGTCTGCGTACGTTAATAATCATTGAGAGGGCTGTGTACGTCAAAAATTGTGGGGAGGGCTGTGTACGTCAAACATTGTGGGGAGGGCTGTGTAAGACAATAATCATAGGGAGGGCTGTGCAAGACAATAATAATGGGGAATAAAATTGAAACAACCAGTATCCCAAATGGATTAAATTTCATAAACCAAATTTTGATAATAAGTGTAGATTTAATGGGTAATAACAAGGTATTAAAAATCATCACAGGACACTTATGCTTTTTAATTACACCGTATACTGAAAATATGTAGCAAAAATTGGTTGTTTTTAATCTCAAATTTTTGACTAATGAACTTTTAAAAGTATAATAAAAAGACAATTTATGATCTATAAAACCTGATAAAATCATCCACTTCTGAGTCAAAATTAAACATTACTTAAGACGACATGCTGCTCGTATTCCTTCTTGTCAGATGCATGACTTCAAATTTTCTAGTATCCCATCTGGCTACTAAGCCAATGATATTTAGACTCAAAAATAAAAATCTGGTATCCTGTGGATATGGGGATACCGCAAATTTCAAGCCAAGCCAGGAAATACAAAATATAGAGTTTCACGATAAACATCCATCAATTTTTGACTCGCAGATACTCTGCAGGAGTCTTATTGCTAAAGCTCAAGAATCAACCAGTTTGCTTAGCATGCTCTAATTACGTCTACCTGTTTATCCGGTTTCAAAATGTATCAAATTTAACTTACAGTGAGCAAATGGTCTGAAATTGCAAATTGTTTGACTGTCTTGTATATTGAATCTGGTTTCTGAATCATTTTGTCTTATTCTTTTCCACAATAGAAATAATTGTTAAAATATGTGATACGGTATTTGATTTGTTCTGATTTGCCACAATTTAAATTGACACATGAAGTCCCTCAAATCAACTATCACTGACATTGATATTCAACAGTTAAGTTTGTTCTTTCCATGACAATCAAGAATGGCAAATATAAGCACAAAAAGTATAGCTCTATTAAATAATGAGTACAAATTATTGTAATGAACCAAAGGAAATTAATGCATAAGTAATTTTTTCCTTAGTATTTTTCCTCTCCATATTTGCTTTAAATTTTGAGGTCATAAATTTATAAAATTAACATCTTGCTTTATATGCCATCAAAAATGTCATTAATTCTTTTTGCATTTGTGAGTCATCGCATCAAGACCCCACTGACTCATACGTGTTGTTCATTTTCTATAATACAACTAGTTTTATCTAAAAGTAAACTGTCATCGTAATCTTTGATTGACAAAAAATCAATTCGCCTAATAAACATACTAACTTTATAAAACAATAATCTCTTTACTAACAGCTTTAAAAATTCAGGTTATACGTAGCAAAGCTATGGGAGGTGGTGGGTTGACAAAATGAAATATCTGTAAAGGGTGCATTATTTCACACTGGTCCTACCGGAAAGTTTTGATCTACTACGCCACAGTAATGTTTAATGACAATGTCAAACTATCTATAACCCATCGTGTACATCTGTGATCTCTTTGTAACTATCCCGTTAATGTAGCACAAATGGCTAATATTTAACATCATAATAACAGCTCATTATAATTAACTTTTGCTTATCAATAAGGCAAGTAAGAAGTTTTATTACAAAATTTGTGGGAGCTATACCCAAATATTTTGTCATTGTGCAAAAATGACATCTTCTTCAAATAAAGTTCAAATACAAACATTAGTCAAACCTTCGATATAAGTTAAGTCATCTAACAAGTTGTTAAATTGTATTGTTTAAATATAGTCATTTGTGGATGGACATATTGGATTTCCCTTGTTATACATGGAATTTACGTAGTGATGAATCTAGCTAAAGAGCAGAATTATTAGTGAGTTTTTTAAGACTACTTCAGTTGTCTGTATTTATCTTATTTAGAGTCACGATTGAGACAAAACTTCCTATAACTGTCAATACTGTGACAGTGCAATTGATGCAAATTGTTCGTGGTTGATTTAAATATTATTAGCTTGGAGCTTCGCTTAACATTGAATTTAATTTTCTTGGAAGTTAGAATTATCATGTAATGAATTAAAGTTGACATATTTTACGCGTGGCGTGTGACACGTATCGCTGAAAATGCGCAGTCAACGAATCGAAGCAATAGATGACTTGCTTAGTTTACGTCCTGCTGGCAGAAAAAAATCCTAACAAAGGTTAACCATTGTTGCTTGTGTTGTCTAAAGGCACTCGTTTGACCATATCTGTCTGCAGGCAAAACGTAAACAAGGTGCAATTTAGCTAAACCTTTGAACAATGTAACGAGTAAGTAAACAACATTGCTTTAAAATTAATGCTTTACACAATTTTACTAACCAAAGAACTGAAAGAAGATCAATTTCAGCACTTCCACAATTCAGCACTAGTTTCTTTGTTCCACAAAGTAGAGTCTCAATTTTTGTTAGGAATAGAATGCATTGCAGCATTAATTGTTTGTTGGTCGATGGTAGCTGCTGCGCAAGCGTAGCTAAGCACTATTTCCGTCGGTTTGTCGCATTGAGCTCTATAAGACCTGGAGGGGAAATGTCAACCAAACAGTGAACTCGACATTTGAATAACTGGAATGATAACCGAAGCCAAAAATTGAAACCAAAAAAATATTTGTTGTCATCATTCGTCAGCACACGTCAGGCTCTAGTCTCTCGCGTGTTCATTTTAATTTTTTTAAATCATTTGTCCCTTGGTAATGGTAGAGTTCGGATCTTGATCAGAGCGTAAAAATAACGAATTTTTTGGAATGAAAAGGTTCACGGAAAGTGAATCAAAGTGATAAATCGAGAAGCAAGATGAGGTGAACTTAGTCGATCTGCTCTTACGCTGCGGTTTTCCTTTAAAACATATCAAAGTCTTTAAGGATATTCAATTGTTGATATCGAGATGACAACCATTTAGTATGTCAAGTTTCAAGCACTATCAAAATCGATGAAAAATACAATCGCTCTGTAAAAAGTAAAAATGCGAGTTATAGACTCAATATTTTTTATGAAACTGGATATTCAAGTTTCTTTTTTATTCAGAAAAACAGATCTTTAAATCCACTGAAATGACAAAAAAAGACAAACACTGTCTGACACCGTTTGAAAAATTACCTTCCGATGTAAGAAAAATTTTTGCTTGAATATTTTCTCGTCATATTTTCTTATTGTATTGTCTTTTTAGCATACAGTGTAATTTTCAGTTGGCTTTTCCTCGTTACAAGTTGTAAGTTACAACGAGCTCACTGTAGTAAAGTTTCAGCTGTAAAAAATAGCCTTTTGCGAGGAGTTAGCCTGGTGTGTTGTTTGTAGCGATGTTGTTTATATGTTTATGCTTTCGCAATTTGTATTCAAATTTATATTGGCCGCGTATGTTTGGCACTCAGGGGAATGATACTGACGTACAAACGGCGTGAATATTCGACTTTCAAGGACTGGAACTGACGTACAAACCGCGCAAGAGACTAGGACTTTGGCTTCAACTTTTTATCTATAAAATGTATTGTCGTTATCATTCCAGATATATATATATATATGGAGTTCACTGCAACCAAATTACTATAAATTATTAGCGCGCGGCCCATTGAGTTCTATAAGACCTGGAGGGGAAACGTCAACAAAATTACTATAAATTATCAGCGCGCGGCCGCGTGGTCAAAAACATGGCGGATTTTGGTGGTCAAAGTCAGCGGAGAGACGCGGGCTCATGAAAAAATTTTTTGTCGTCCACCCTGATTTTGACCACCACGATTGCGAGTATAGAAAATATCAAAACTATTTATTTTCCTAACATAAACACTTTTTTAAAATTTTATTTATTAAACTGCCAACTTCTGTGGTTTGCGGATGCTGAAATAGCGACAGAAAAGGGAACATTTCTTGACTCCGGTAAGTAGCACAGTATTAGTTTTACCATTTTGTTTTTAACACGATACTTGAAGAGTGTTTCTACTACTAAGTTTTAATTTAAAGTTATTTTGGTCCAGTCTTGTTTGTTCTTCACTTTATCGCTCGCCAGACGTGTCGAAGCTGTCAATTTTTATCGAGTTTTGCATCCATCTTGTATCATGATCAAGGCATCAAGCTAAACTCTCCTGATTTGAATTGAGTTTACCTCCCAAAAATGGGACATAATTTGTTCATGTTTTTTTTGAAAAGATGAAGGGAAAGTTTACAACAGAGTTGTGTTGAAATTGAATGCAGTGCCATCCAAAATTAATGAGAACTATGGTATATGTTGTATAATAAAAATAACTATTAAACTGTTTGCCTGCTCAATTTGACTGACTGTATAGTGTACACAATTATAAAAGGATTGGAAAGTTGGATTTATGCAAACAGTTTTAAAGTACTACTTAGCGTTTCTGTAAATGAAGTATTTATTGTTATAGTAAAGAGGTTACTACTTCAAAACCAAGATAAAAGCAGTGTGTTAAACAATGTGCTAAGATTTGTTTCTACCTTGAAATTTTTGTTCAACAGTAGCTTATGATTATCTCATTAATATGCATGAAAAATTAATCATATTATTGTCTCATCTCATCAAATCCATACTTGGTATGATTCCAGGTGATTTACAAATTCACATAGGATGCATTGGTTACAATGAAGTTGAATGTAGAAGAAGGAAAAATAGATGGCAAAGAAATTCTTTGTGTCTTATGAAGAATTAGTAGAAATCAATAAAAAGAATTCTTTAAACAAATTGTAAACAAATTTTAATTTGCTCATGGTCAGCAACCTAGTCAAAGAAGCAAAGTCTGTCTTCAACATGTGACCTTTCCAATTATGTTTAGTTTCTTTGTACAAAATACTATTTTCGAGAAACTTGATTTGTAAGTCTTTCATTAATTTTTTTACCAAGAGATAAAAGGAACTAATTCAAAGGCTTGACGTAAAATACAAAGATTTAACAAGTTGTTTATCATTTAATTCCCAAATGTTAGTTTGTACATATAAATAATTAGTATTGGTAGCTGTAAGTTGTTTAAGCAAAGCAGAAGAGTAGTAGTGCTCAAAGGGGTTAGCATTTTTGAAAAATTATACCTTGTTCTTCACATATATTACACAATTCCAAAAGACTGTACGTAATACACAATAATATTTATAGAACTTGATAAATTTCTTCACCTACACTGTCAAATAACTATTTTGCCTTCATGCAGCAATAGAAAGTGTTTTTGTCAGAGAAACCAATGCACTTTAGTTTCCAAGTTTGTAATTTCAATGGAAAATTAATGTAGCTCTGTTCAGTAATAGATCCAAGATTCTGCCAAGCTGTTTACAAAATACAAATTACCAAGCAACAGTATCATGGTGTTTTAAATTTTTTTCCTTTTAGTAGCTCTTCTAGTTCAACATACTTTCTCTATGAGTTTTCAGTAGATTTATCAGGTAATGACAATACACTTATGATACTTATCCATGCTAAATTTTCAGTTGACTTATGTCGTAGGACTGAAGCAAACATTTTATCGCTTCCTTAGGAGCATTTTTACACAGATTTATGCACTTGAGCAAGAAAAATAGTTGCACCAAACTGTTTACAAACAGTCAAACACACAGAAGCATGAAATAATGTATAAGTTTGACGAGATTGACAGGTCTAGTAAAGAATGCCGTTTGATTTTCACTTTTAAAAGGCTAAAATGTCATAAAATAACTTAAATGTTACATCCAAAATATGCGTTTCTCTACCGTCGATCTTCTTTATTTTGATGTGTGTCTGTACTGTGTTTTTCACGCAATGCTGAAGCATTATTTTCACATGATATGCTGTCGGTATCGTAATTGATTTTTTCTCACTTGTTTTCGTTCATACAAACAGTATTAGAAATCAGGAGGGAGTGAATATTGAAAAAAATTTTTAAAGTGGAAGTTTTGACCACGAAAATCCGCCATTACCGCCATGTTTTTGACCACGGGGTCCAGGCCCCTTTGCCCCTCCAGGTCTTATAGAGCACAATGGCGCGGCCGCGTGGTCAAAAACATGGCGGATTTTGGTTGTCAAAGTCAGCGGAAAGACGCGGGCTCATAAAATAAAATTTTTTTCGCCCACCCGGATTTGACAACCACAATTGCGATTACATAAAATATCAATGCCAAGCACAAAAACTTTTAGAAATTTTATCTTTAAAACATGCTGCAAACTTGTTTGGTTTACGGATGCTGAAGTAATGCCAGAAAAGGAAATATTTCATGACACCGGTAAGCAGCGTAAGATTGTTTACCATTAAAAGTGTTCAGTGTTTTGTTTTAAGTCAATACTTGAAGTGTGATGGTATATATTTTTGTGAATTTTTTTACTCCTAAGTTATAATTTAAGTCATGTTTATCCAGTCTTATTTGTTCTTTACTTAATGTTTTTGATCACGCGGCCGCGCGCTGATAATTTATAGTAATTTGGTTGACGTTTCCCCTCCAGGTCTTATAGAACTCAATGGTCGTTATTCTCGGAGATAGTCGGACGAATGAGGGATGACCACTGATATGAAATAGACTGGATACACAACTACTAAAATAAAACACTCGAATTTCATTAACGTAATCATGTTGAAACCATTAACGCATCTTATACCATCCCAAGAATCTAACCACGTAACCAATCTAAATCAGACGCTCCAAAAATGCCAAAATCTTTTAAAGCAATATTTCACATTTGACAACAGCTCACCGAGTTGAAAGCATTAAAATTTAAAACAAATCCAGAGAATCCTTATACATTTCTAATATGCCTGGGTTCAATTTCAAATATATATATATATATATATGATAATGATAAGGATTCTCTGGATTTGTTTTAAATTTTATTGCTTTCAACTCGGTGCTTCGAGCCTCGTCAGAATGTGACAATATATTATTTACAAAGATTTTGTAGGCGTTTGGAGCGTCTGATTGGTTGGTTGTAGTTAGTTGATATTATTGGATGGTGTAAGATGCGTTGTCATGGTTTCGGTGTACTTACGTTAATGAAATTCGAGTGTTTTATTTTAGTCGTTGTGTTATTAGTTTGTTGTTTTGGTTTTGTCTTTAGTTGTGAATAGATGATGGGATGTCAATATGTCTGTTAATTGTGTTGTTGTCTTTGCTGTACCATGCCTCTTTGAATTCTCGTGCGTGTTTTGTCTGTGCGCGTCCAAGAAGTTGTGTTTTGTCCAGTCAAATGTGTTGGTATCGTAGGTATGTTCTGCTGGTAGTGATTTTTGGGTCGCGTCGTTTGATGGCATTCTTGTGTTCAGTGAGTCTTGTTTCAATTTTCTTGGACGTTTGTCCATGTACTGTCAGCAATCTTTACATGGTATCATGTAGACCGCGTTGGTTGTGTCGAATGTCGTTGTTCGGTCTTTATGTTTAGTGAAGTATGATTTGAGTTTGTGTGTTGGTTTTATGTGCGATGTTTATTTTGAATGGTCGGAGTAGTCTTGATGTCATTTCTGATGTTCCGTTTATATATGGTAA